GCAACCTCCAAAGTTGCATTTTACAGTCAAATGACTTGAAACAGCTGACCTTTTCATTTGGCTTTTCTCTGGACCATGTTTCAAATTGAGAATATTCTCTCTCTACAAGTACTGAAGGAAGTACCTGGAAAACTCGGACAGATTATGTTAAATTGAGGACACCTTCAGATCCATTCTCTTCGCACTAAAAGCATGACTCAGCTCTGACATTTCCAAACACTGTCATTTGCCTCTATTCAGAGTACCTTTCTTTAGCCCTGATTTTTACAAAATGATACTTGTCAAATACATTCTCCATTTATGTAATTCTCCTGAACGTTCCACCCAATTTAGATGCTGCGAAATCACTGGCTGGTTTACTCTTATTTTTCCATTTCATTCCTTGCGGGTGCAGAATTTACATTTACCCAATTAAAATCAGAGAACGTGTTGAGTTACAGAATTTTAAAAACAATCTTATGTTCTATTTTAGCTTTCAGTGAGCAGCTATTGCTTCATGGGGACAGTCTCGGCACAGGATGGGGACCAAGACCTGGAGATGGCTGGTGGGATGCTCTCCAGGTGTGTGTGCCTTATACCACACAACTGCACCACAGAATCATGGTGAAAGGCAAATTTTACATTTATTTTTATCTCCATGATATACCTTTGTTTTTTTTCGGGGGTACTGAGATTGAACCCAGGGACACTCAACCAGTGGGCCACATGCCCAGCCCTACTTTGTATTTTATTTAGAGACAGGGTCTCACTGACTTGCTTAGTGCCTCACTTTTTGCTGAGGCTGGCTTTGAACTCGTGATCCTTCTGTCTCAGCCTCCCAAGCTGCTGAGATTACAGTTGTGCGACACAGCACTCAGGTCCATTTTATATATTTATATTTATTTTTTTWAAATTTTCATTTACTTATTTTTTTAGGTACTGGGGATTGAACTCAGGGGCACTCAACCAACTGAGCCACATCCCAGCCTTATTTTTGTATTCTATTTAGAAACAGGGTCTCACTGAGTTGCTTAGCGCCTCAAGTTTGTTGAGGCTGGTTTGAACTCATGATCCTCCTGCCTCATCCTCCTGAGCTGCTGTCCATTATATTTTAATTGGTAAACTTTAACAACTATGATCTCTGTTGATTGATACCTTATTGAGACATAATTGTGAATTATGTGTGTACCACAACAAACTCCAAGTACATCTGGTGTAGTGGTCTCACCTATAATCCCAGCGACCTGGGAAACTGACGCAGGAGGATGGCAAGTATAAGGCCAGCCTCGGCAATTTAGTGAGACCCTGTCTTAAAATAAAAAACAAACAAAAAGGACTGGGATATAGGGGCTAGCACTGTGGCTCAGAGGTAGAGCAATGCCTAGCATTCGTGAGACACTGGGTTCGATTCTTAGTACCACATAAAGTAAAATAAAGACATTGTGTCCACCTGTAACTAAAAAATAAAATATTTAAGAAAAAAAAGGACTGGGATATAGCTCAGTGGTTCAATTCCCAGTACCACTAAATAAATTAATTAAAGAAAATCCAAGTACATTTCTGCTCCACAGGTATAAGTATTAACATTATATACATATATTTTTTTATTTTATTTATTTATTTATTTTTTAAAGAGAGAGAGTGAGAGAGGAGAGAGAGAGAGAGAGAGAGAATTTTTTTTTTWATWWTTTWTTTTTAGTTATCGGCGGACACAACATCTTTGTTCGTATTGGTGCTGAGGATTGAACCTGGACCGCACGCAGTTCGGTGCACTACCGCTTGAGCCACATCCTCAGCCCCCATTATATATATATTTTTTAAAATGCATTAATTCAAATTTGTATTCATCACCACAAAAACAAATCCTGTTTTTTTTTCCGTGTTGAATTGTTAAGAATTTAGAGCAGCATTCCTCTGTCAGATATTTTGCCTTTGAAAGTATGAATTTGCAAGGGTTTTGTTTAGACTCTGAAAACTAGATGGAAAAACAAGCCACTGTTAGGTCGTCTGTTAGGAATTAATTTATCTGATTATCTATTTAAAGCATCTGAGAATACAATCTAAGCCTGGCATCCCTGAACTGTTCCCAGTGTTTCTGCTAACAGGGCCACCACATGAACAGCACTACTTCATTTTAGATACGTGCATGAGGAAGTGGAAGCTGAAAAGTGAATGCAATTAYCTTAACACTTTAAATGAAAGTCATCCTTTAGAGGATGATGAGTACTGCTCGCAGCTGTGTCTTAAATTATCTTCTGGAACACTGTTTTTTTCAGCTCTGGGGACAGAACTAGGGCCTCAGACCTGCATCTGCTCCRTCACTGAGCTACACCCCAGTCCAATTCTTTTGTTTTGTTTTGCTTTCTGAGATGGGGGTCTCAATGGTTGTTGCCCAGGGCTGCTCTCAAATTTGTGGGCTTATCGACTCTCAGCTTCAGCCTCCAAAGTTAGCTGGAATTACAGGCATCACRATTTTTAAAAATTAAACTTACATTCTCATTTCACTGAGTCTTGTTTCCCTAGAAGTTCATCATAGATTCTTTACAACAAATTTCCTCACTGGGTTCCTCAGCCTAGGGATGGATTTGATGGTATTCTTACAAGGCTGCAGCCCTTGTCTCAGGCCTCAGGCACAGTTGTAGGCTGTCCTTGAATCAGGAGTCACAGTTTTAACTCTGCTGTGCCAGGCATTGGAGAAGGCCAAGGAACAGCCTGCTCAGTTTCTTGGAYGAATCCCAGCTCCTCAGGGCGGTCCACGGTGTCAAACGTGGTCATCAGTCTCATTTCTGAGAATGTTTTTGGCCTCCATGGAAGCTTCCTCACTTTATTGTAAGCTCAACTTAAAAAAGGATGTTTCTTTGTAAAATGGGAATAGTGATGATAATAAAATCATACCAATGCTACCCAATGTACACAAAACACCTGGATTTGACCTGGCAAAGAATCAACACCACAAAATGTTATGGTATTAGCCTCTTATCCAGTATGTCCATGCACATATCACAGGGAGGTTGTTCAGAATTTTGAGTCCAGTATTATGACTAGATGTGGAGGATGCTTATATAGTTCACAGCATGTGTTATATGTAGTTTTGTTAACATAAACATATGTATGTGCGTGTGTGCACACATACACACACACACACACAATTTTAAGAGGTGGGGAGTTGCTCTGTTGCTGAGGCTGGTCTCTCCCTCCTGGGCTCAAGTGGTCCTCATGCCTCAAACTCCCAGGTATATGTGAACATGGCGCCACACCCAGTGGTGATTTTACATAAAACACATTTGTTTGGGTGGGCAATTTACCCCTGAACTCTATTAATGTAACTACCTGCCTGAAGCCACATAAAGGATACTTATTTACCTTAGAAAGATGTGGTGTACATGTATGACTACATAGATTTTCCTGTAAGCTTATGATCTAGCATTTTTATGCTTGATACTGACAAAGGGCTCTGAATTACCATTCTTTAGTATTAAAGATAGCATGAAAAAGTCTAATTTTAAATTTTATGAGAAACTTCATTTTAATTGATTAAAACATGACCGCTCAAGTATACAGATGTGAAAATACAAATGTTTGGGTTCATTAAATATAGATTTTTTTGTAATTTCATTAGATATAAAAGAATTATAAGTTCAAAGCAGTATTATACTTGCTAATTACCAATATTTTTATGTAACTATTTTTCATCAGTATTTCTCAGTTGCTTCCCCCCAAAAATATTAAGATTCTAGAAAAATAAAAGATGACATAGTTCTCTAAATAAGAGCAATCTGGGGGTGAGAAATAGTAGTTGTCTAGGAATGTACAACCAAACCATGGTGTACAATTGTTATAAAGTTTTAAAGATTCACACATTCTTAAAACTTCAAAAAGCATACTTTTACATATATATAAACACATTTATATAATACATATAATATATGTGTGTGTATATATATCTCTCTATATATGTGTTTTAGTGTAGTCCCAGGGATTGAACCCAGAGCCTCATGCCTGCAAGGCCAGTGCCCTACCACAGAGCTATGTCACCAGCCCTGACCATATTTTAAATACATGAATTAAATATCTTAAATGGGCTGCGGGCATATAGCTCAGTGGCAGAGCACKTGCCTCTCATGTGCGAGGCCCTGGGCTTGATCCCTAGCTCCATGTTAAAAACGAACAAACAAAAAACCCAAAGACCCTAAAATATTTTTCTCCTTCACTTCTTTCTTCCTACCAAGAAACCCTAGTGCAACAGGCAGCCGTTGTGGCTGGGTGTCAGGGGCGAGGTCTGTGCCTGGGCAGAGCACTAACAGGATGGAAGCTAGCAGGCCTCAGCCTAGGTAATCTGCACCTCTGAGGAGGTATTTGTCCTCCGGTGTTTAAAGATCTTTGCCTAGTCAAAAAAATAAGGAAAAAAAAAAAAAAAAAAGAAAGGAAAGAAGAAAAGGAAAAGAAAAAGGTCAATCATGCTCTTTAGAGAACAGTTGGAAAATAAAGAGAAGTTTGAAAAAGAAAACAAAAATAACTGTAATCTTACAATACTGGCAATTCTCCTCTGTTTTTTTTTCTCTAAGCATACCAAAATATAAACATATACATATAAAAAAGTGGTTATATCTCTTACAGAATTTGATATCCTGCTTTTTTCATTGAATAAAATGGTCGAGTTGTTTTCCATTTCCTTTATATGTTTAAATTGCTGACACCATCTTTTATTGAACAACTGACTACGTTATTTAATTTTAGCAAATGTGTTCCTAATTTTATGATTTTGGGGTGTGTGTGTGTGTGTGTGTGTGTGTGTGTGTGTGTGTGTGGTGCCGGGGATTAAACCCAGGGCCTTGTGCATGAGAGTTCTATAACTTTTAAAGTTTTCTCCTGTATACCTACAAGTATGTATGTGTGTATTTTTATTTTTATTTTTGCAGTGCTGGGTAAACCCTGGGCCTTTTTCCTGGGAAGCAAGTGCTCTGCTGCTGAGCTGCTCTCCACAGCCCAAAGTAGACTGACTCTGTTATTTTTTAAAAAGCTATAAAAAGCTACAAAATTTAAAATATGTAGCACATTTTTGACAACTGAAGCCTCAACCTGGATCCAACTGGAAGGAATCTGCTCTCATCCTCCCTCAGAGGCTGGGAGGGGCCAGCCCCAGAAAGCACAAGGTGCTGCATGCTGGCACTGAAGGTCAGGTTCCCAAGGACCACTGGCAAGTCACACGTGGATGACGGAAGGTCTGCTTGTGAAGTTCACATKCGGAACTCCTACAAGCTGTAAGACAGAGTTTATGGGTTTGTGATCCAACCTATTCCTATCACGGTGCATAAAATGGATGTTGTTACCTAGAAGAAAATAAGAACAAAAGCTGAGGTTTGAATGTTAACTATTATTTATCTTATTTCTTACTAGAATCAAGAAAGGGCTTCAACTTTTAATTAGTCCAAAGGGGAAAATTAATCACCTAGAGTACATTATATTCTCTGTACAATGCCATAATACTTTTTAATTATAGCAATAAAGCAGGACAAGAATTATGGTTAAATAAGAGTGGTTTTATGAGATCCAAGGAGAAAGATTCTTTAATTATAACCTATTAGGTTTTATTGAATATAATTAAATAAAATGTCCTGTCACACAGGCAGAATACTGAACATAGATACCAAGCTGGAAATCACATCTGTTTCTTGAATATATGTAATAATGAAACAAATCACTTCTAAAAATCCATGCCCAAATAATGATTAATAGGCTATCTGTTTTATAAACAAAGCCCAAAACAGGTTTAAAAATAAGGCATAAGGCCATCTGTTACAAGCTGGGTGCAWTGGTACTCGCCTGACATCCCATCAACTCGGGAGGCTAAGGCAGGAGGATCTTAAGTTCAAAGCCAGCTCAGCAACTTAAGGAGGTCCTAAGCAACTTAACAAGACCCTGTCTCAGAATAAAAAATAAAGGGGCTAAGGATGTGGCTCAGTGGTAAAGTGCTCCTGGATTCGATCCCTGGTACCAAAAAAAAAAAAAAAAAAAAGACCTTGTGTTACAATACACTCAGAGGTCCACAATCTTTATTATCTGCTCAAGTAAGCTGCGAGTTATAGTCTAGGTTCTGTTCACTTTGATTCTTGGACTCAAAACTCAGCACCACATATAAATAAATAAAATAAAGGTCCATTGACAACTAAAAAGTATTTTAAAAAATAAAGTCATTAAAAGTCTGTGACTTATGAAGGCTATGTTATTTATTCTATTTATGGTACTAGGGATTGAACCCAGGGGCAATTAACCACTGAGCCACATCCCCAGCCCCGTTTATTTTGAGACAGGGTCTCACTAAGTTGCTTAGGGCCTTCCTAAGTTGCTAAGGCTGACTTTGAACTTGTGATTCTCCTGCTCAGCCTCCCAGGCCGCTGGGATTATTAGGCATGCACACCAGGTGCCACCGTGCCCAGCTTAYGGTAGCTCTTACTAAATGAGCTGCCCTGCACAGACTTGCTTTCGAACACTGCAAGTCCTGCAGTTTCGTTAGCTATAAATGACTAGACAGAGTTTTTCACTGACAGAAGGTGTTAAGGATTTCCTCCGGTTCAGAAACATTCACCTCCAATGAGCTATTTCTTTTCTTTTGTGGTGGGTGCTGAACACACGCTAAGCACATGCTCTCACTGAGCTACACTCCTGGCCTCTGCTGAGCTTTTTAAAGCGTGAAATAGCCATAAACAAATCAGCATCTCACAGCTGGCTTCCCCTGTCCCGAGCCCTGCAGTCCCTGGGGTGTRGAATGACAGGCACACTCATCAAACACAGATGCCAAAGAACAGAAGCCTCTGAAAACAAAAGATGCCCTGTGAGAGCACGGCATCCTGAGTGAGGTCCAGGTGCCCACTTTATATGCTGTCTGCTTTACAGAGGAAACAGGTGGCCTTGGGGCATGTAAGAGGCACAGGAAGCGCACACAGCTGGATCTGGGCTTTCATGCTCACCTGGACCTACAATGAGGGTCCCGCCTTGCTGGGCTGGGTCTCCTTGGAAGTCAAAAAGAGGGCCAGTCACTGCCCGCCACAGGCTCCGAAGGCTTCCCGAGAGCAGATTTGACTTGACGTGGGGGCTCTGTCCTGGAACGTTAAGAGTGTCTTTAGATGCGGTCATTACACACGCCATCAAATGTTAAGGAGACGATGCTGGCATTTCTACAAGGCATTCGCTTTCTTAGGTCACATCTCACTTCGCATCTCATTTGACCTTTTTCCTTTTCTTCAAAGAACAGCTTCAGTATGGACATTCTGGCCCAGATGATCCTTTGTCTGCGTGGGGTCGGGTGCTCAGCAGCACCCTGGGTCGACACCCAGCGCGCTCTTGGCACTGTTTGCCAAGCTGTGTCTCCAGAAAATGCCAAATGCCCCTTAGCAGGGGGATAATGTCCTTGGTGAGAACGTCTGCTCTCAAAAAGTGATGACAGACAGACCCAGGTCACTTTCTGCCACAGAAGCCTGTCAGCTTCAGGCTGGGCTGCGCCCAGGGGAGAGCCCGGAGCAGAGTCTGACCCCAGCAGGCAACAGGGAGGCGTTTGCAGCGGGCAGAGCTGCCACCCGACTCCCACTCTGCTCTTCAGTCTCACCCACTAGTGGCTGCTCCGGCCCTGTTCTGGGCACACTGTGGCCCGGTGGTTAAATGTCGGTCACAGAGCMGCTCCCCTCTCTGGGCTGTAGCCCTACGCTGTCCAGCGTCCTCACAGCTGGGTGCGGGCGGCTGGGACTCTGTCCTAACCAGAGAGTGAGAAGCTCGCCTGGGCCCCGACTCCTGAGCAGCCCAAAGGTGGCTTCCTTGTCCCCTCCCTGGGGTGAGGCTTGGGGGCAAGGACAGAGCAGGAGCTGGGAAGGGCTGGCCCCAGGGCTGCTCTCCTCAGAGTAGGCCTGGAAGGGAATGCCCCGCCTCAGAGTTCCAGCAGGGGACAGCCTGCAGCGCCAGGCCTAGAGAGGCCGAGAGGCCGCTGCCCTCGGCTCCTCCTCCCCCGTCCACTGACGTCCCCCTCCCCACAGAGCCCCTGTACGACTCCCACAACTGATTTTCCTGGGGTCTCTTTTTCATCTCGCCTTTAGCTTTTCACGGACAACTGAGTAGGAAAAAYGAACTCAGACTTGACCTCGGCTCTGCTCTGGCCTCTCACAGCTCAGTCCACTTCTGCTGCCCACTGGCAGAGCTTCTCCCACACRCCAGGGGAGCCAGCCTGCACCAACGACGGGGGTGTCCTCCAATGCAATGCAACCCTGACACTGTCCGAAGGAGACAGCATCAGGTCCCCAGGCAGAGGGTGCAGTTCCCGAGACAGGCCAATTCAGAGGCCAGTCAGTCCCCGACCGTTTGCCCTGAGCTGTGACTGCCTGGCTACAAACCCAGGTTCCCCTGRGCCCTCCCCAGGTTCCTTCAGTGAGCTTGCACGGCTCACGGAACTCAGGATGCTTCCTGACTCTTGCCAGTTTATCATAAAAGATGCCACAGGGGACACAGATGAAGAGGTGGCCAGGGCGGGTACAGGGAGGGTGCACAGAGCCTCCTGGGCCTCTGCACACCCTACCCTCTAGAAACCTGCACGTGTGTGGCCATGTGAAGCTCCCCTGAGTTTTTAATGGAGACTTCACTGCATAGACGCGCCTGAAGTACGGGCAACTCTGTAGAGGGCTGGATCTGGTGCTGACAGGCAGGGGGCGGGGGAGCCAGCACGGCCTGTCCAGATTCTTCCCTGACTCTGTGCAGCCTTCCTTCCGGGCAGGACCCCTTCCCAAATGGGGTCTCATGATCTACTATCAGGTCAGGTAGAAAAGAGAACTTCTTTATGGCCAGCTCCAACACAGCACGGTTGGGGAGGTTAGAGTATATTTTTGGTTCTTATGACCTGCCTTAAGGCAGCTATGAGCCAGGAACTGTGGATGAAAACCAAAATATATGAGAATAATATCACATTGATCATGCAGCTCTGGACCCACTGCTTCCTGATAGTTCCAGATTCATATTATTTCCCGGCTTCTTCCAGCTCTTTGATTTCTTCCATGTTTACACTGTGACTGTGACATCATCTTACCACGAAACAAGAACAGGCGCGCTGACTCAGAGACGTGAGTCAAACATCAAATTTGTTTTACAGGATTCTATATCTAAAATAAATGTTCATAAGTCCAGATGATCTCATGTCGATAGAAATTCAGTTAAAGGAGATCCCAAAGCCTAGAGCTGAGCCATCGTTCCCATTAGGCATGATCTAATTTTGCTAGTTTGAATTTAGTTYTTATGTGTAAAACTCTTGTTTTTTGACTTTAAAACAATTTAAAACAATTTAATGGTCTTATTTTCTTATTCTTTGTCTTTATAAAGTGGGTACTGTTAACTCTAAATTATAACTGTATAATGTATTTTAAGTGCCTTAATTTTCAAATAAGACTACTCTGAGGACAATTCTGATATTTATGCTTTATACTTTATACAGGTTCAAGCTTTTAAAAAAGTATTTTGTGAAAATCTAATATTTTCTGTTTGTCAAGACAGTACTTTAAAACTATAAATCAAAACATGTGCCAGGCACAGTGGTGCACCCCTGCAATCCCAGTAGCTCCCCAGGCTGAGGCAGGAGAATGGCCAAATTCAAGGCCAGTGTGGGCAAATAATTTAGCAAGACCCAGCTCCCCCCCAAAAAGGCTGTACATCAGTGGTAGGGCACCCTTAGATTTGATCCCTAGTACCCCCCAAATGCATATTATATAATTTCATAAAATCTATAATATAGTGGTTTATATAATATTTACAGTGTAAGCTTTATACCTATACATATTATATAAAGTATATTTAAGTTAAAGCACATTAAAAGATTTGAACATACCTTCTCATAATTAGAAGCATGCATTTGGTTTAGAATTCACCTATTTTCTTTGCAACTCCATACCTTTATTGTGGCAATGGATGAGGTGCTACTAAAGTGAAACTCACAGTTTATATCTAAAGTGCTAAATGATAAGCAGACCTTACACATGCTGAGACTCAGTCACAGCACATGAAAATAGTGTGCCAGGAGGAAAGGGCCACAGTCTGCCCTTTCCGGCAGATYTGCTGCCATCTCCTCCACTGCAGGGCTGGGGGTGGGGGCAGGACAGAGGGAGGGAGGTAGAGGCAGGGGGAAGGTCAGATCAAGCGCTCAAGCTTAAGCTAGCTCATCATCAGTTTTAATAAAGTCTGTGTTTTTTCCCTTCTTACTTCTGTCCTCCTCTTCTTTTTGCAGCACTAGGGATTGAACCCAGGGGTTCTCTATCCCCAGACCTTTTAAATTTTTTATTTTGAGATAGGATCTCCTCAAGTTGCTGAGACTAGTCTCAAACTTTTTTTTTTTTTAGAGAGAATTTTTTTAATATTTATTTTCTAATTTTCGTCGGACATCTTTCTTTGTATGTGGTGCTGAGGATCGAACCCGGGCCGCACGCATGCCAGGTGAGCGCACTACCGCTTGAGCCACATCCCCAGCCCTAGTCTCAAACTTTGACCCTCCTGCCTCAGCTTCCTCAGCGACTGGGACCACAGGTGTGCACCGCCACGCCCAGCTTAGGCTGCTTTCTTTAAAATCACTAGTGAGCTGGGTATGGTGGTGCACACCTGTAATTTCAGCTACTGGGGAGGCTGAGGCAGAAGGATCAAAAATTCAAGGCCAGCCTGGGCTTAAGGAGACCCTGTCTCAAAATAAAATACAGAAAAGGGCTAGGGACATAGCTCAGTGATAGAGTGCCCCTGGGCTAGTCCCCAGTACCACAAGTAGAAATAAAAATACAAAATAACGGCTCGGGAGGCTTAAGACAGGAGGATTGTGAGCCTCAGCAACTTAGTGAGGTCCTAAGCAACTCAGTGAGACCCTGTCTGTAATAAAATATAAATAAGGTATGGGGATGTGGCTCAGTAGTTTAGGGCCTCTGGGTTCAATCCCCAGTACTTACTAAATAAATAAATAAACAAACAAACAAATAAATACATAAATAAACAAACAAATAAATACATAAATTAAGAAAAAAATAAAAAATGAAATTAAAATATCAGCAAAGCGATCAGGGCAATTCTCCAGGTCCATCACGCCTCTCCATCTCCTCTGGAGGCCTCCCATTTCTCCCTAGTTAATTACTAGAACCTTCTCACTGACATCACTGGATCTGGTTGGGCTGGTTCCAGTTCGTCCTCCACACTGGGATGTGTCTGTCTCACTTTGCTGTTTCGACACTTGATCAACTCCCCCAGTACTTTCAGAACAGATCCACAATCCTTGGAATGTCATTCCACATCACTGTGCATCAGCCCGACCCACCTCTTGGCTCACACCAATTCCCCAGCTGGCTCTGAGAGTCCGGCCAGAGGCAGGGACCTGCACATGTATCTGTGTCCTGAGCACCCTGCTCGCCCTCCCTCCACCAGCCAGCTCCTTCAGGGGGCATTGAGACGTCCCTCCTGGGAGAAGCCGTCCAGATCCCTTTCCTCTCGAGATGCTGAGGCGGGCCCCCAGCACACACTTCTCTACCACAAGCCCTTTTGCAGTATGGAAATCTCTGGAAGGCAGGGTTCATTCATCTCTGTTCTCCAGGGAGCATCTACCACAGTGGGTGTCAGAGACAAGAGCTCAAAATAGTATTTGTGGCGCCTGAGTCTGAGTTGCCTTATTCTGCATTTCAGAAACTGAGTTATTCCTATCCAAAGCACACACACTGGGTTTGACTGCAATTACTAAGCTCCATTAATCACCAGGAATCGTGGTCAGGTGGGGAATGTGGAGCTATGACAATCTTCAACTAGCTGCACAGTGCCACCTGGCTCCTCAGCGCAGTAAAAGCAGCTGTGGAGACAGGGGCTGTCGCACCCAAGAAAGCAATTCGTCCACCTGGAGAGCTATGAAGCACCTCTCGGTGCTGGGTCTCCAAGGATCCGCAGGTTCTCTTCAGTTCAAAGACACGGAGTGTCCCAGGCGTGGTGCTGAGATATGAAAATATGTAAGCTTCATGCTGTTTTTCTTTTAATTGCAAAAGTAAAACACACTTGTAAAAATTACAAAAGTCAATTTTCTCTGGGTTGGGGCTCAGGGGTAGAGCGCTCGCCTAGCACATGTGAGGCACTGGATTCAATCCTCAGCACCACATAAAAATAAATAAAGGTATTATGTCTATCTACAACTAAAAAATATTTTTTAAAAAGTCAATTTTTTCACTTCCATTTTTGGGGCAAAAATGCTGTAATCTTTCTTATAACCTTTTTCATCACGTACACATACACACGCATGCTTTCATACCCAAATCTTTATGTTTGTGAAAATTATTTTTGCTTTTACAAAAATGCAGTCATATTGAAAATACTGTTCTGCAATTGCCTTTTCTTTCAAAAGTACATTGCCAACATCCTTCCATGCCATTTGCCAGGGTTTGTAAGGGACCCCCAAAGGCCTATGTACTGAAGGCTTGGTTGCCAGCCTGTGGTGTTGGGAGGTGGTAGAAAGTAGAAGGTGGGTCTTCATGGAAGGAAGTTAGATCATTAACAAGGGGAAGGGCGGTGCCCTTGAAGGGACATGGGGATCCTGGCCCTTTCCTCTCTTTTTGCTTCCTGGCTGCCATGAGATGAAGAGGTTTCCTCCAGTGCATGYTCCCTGCCATGATGTGCCACCTCAACACAGGTCCAAAAGCAATGTAGCCAACCAAGCACGGACTAAAACCTCTGAAACCACGAGCCAATGTAGACCATTCTTCCTGATAAGTYGATTATCTCAGGAATTTTGTCATAGCAACAGAATGCTAAAACATCATTACGTTCAGAGAACAAGTCTTTCAGTRTGGGATAGCTGGATCATTTACCAGAATCATAAGAATCATAGGAATTTACCATTTGCTTCCCTATGCACATATACACAGATGTGAAAACACACCACTGCCTTATTCTATTTGAAACATGCTGTCTTACCTGAGGAGGCAATTTCTTCACCTCTTTTCATTCCCAGTCTTTTATAAATTTCTCTCTCAGGATCAACATAGATTTCATGGGAATACCCAGTCAGTTTGCAGAAAGGCTGAAGAGAGAATAGTTGGAGTTTTTATAAGAACAAATGAGAAAAAAGTAATGATAATCTAACTTCAGCCAATTTAGCCTATACGCACTGTTCTATTAACATAATTTTTACACCTGAAACTTTACTTTATTTGGTATTGGGGACTAAACCCAGGAGTGCTTAACCACTGAGTCATTGCCTCAGCCCTTTTAAATATTTTATTTAGAGACAGGGTTTTGCTGAGTTGCTCAGAGCCTCATTAAATTGCAGAGGCTGCYTTTGAACTTATGATCCTCCTGCCTCCTAAGCCACTAGGTACAGATGTATAGCACTTAAACCTGAAACAAATTTAATCTCTGAGTTCCCCAATTTGGTAGATATTTACCTCAATATGATGGTAGGATGACTGTCCAATCACTATAAGGGTGACATCTGCTTCCTTTAGGAGAAAAAAAAAATGTGCATGTTAACAGAATTGTTTCCTAGTCTTCCCCTAATCCCACTCTTTTGTTTCATTCTAATGCCACCTATAGGCTTCTAGAAGAATGGTACAGCAAGATTGTGTGCAACATAAAGAAACTTGTTCTAAAATGTCTGATGAACTTAGATGATTCTTTTGCTAAGTAAAAATTCCAAGACTTAAATGGAAGACTAAAGTTGTAAAAGTATTAGAAGAAAACAGGGAAAAGCTCAATGACATTAGATTGGGCAATGATTTCTTGGATATGACCCCAAAACACAAGCAACAAAAGCAAACATAGGCATGGTTGTATTATAAAGCTTCTGCACAGCAAAGGAAATAATTAGAGTGAAGAGAAAGCCCACAGTTTGGGAGAAACAATAAACTCTGTATCTGATAGGGAACCCAAATCCAAAAAATATAAGAAGCTCAAACAATTAAATAGCAAGAAAACAAAGTATCCAATTAAAAAAAGGACAAAGGTGAGTTGGGGATGTGGCTCAGTGGCAGAGTACTGACTAGCATGGGTGAGGCCTGGGTTGGATCTCCAGCTCTTGGGAAAAACACACACACAGAGAAAGAATAAAAGGGCATGCAGAGGAAAAATTAAAAAAAAAAATTTTCAAAATGATGTATTCCTCAGGCATGGGTGACACATGCCTATAATCCCAGCTACTCAGGTAGCGGAAGCGTAGCGGAAGCAGGAGGACTGTAATTTTGAGGACAGCCTGGGAAACTTAAGAATACTAGTCTAAAAATTTGCTGAGTTGCTCAGGGCCTCACTAAATTGCAGAGGCTGGCTTTGAACTTGTGATCCTCCTGCCTCCCGAGCCACTAGATACAATGGGGATGTAGATTAATCCCAAGTACTGAAAAAACAAAGATAATTAAAAAATTAAAAACCACAACACACAAGCAGGCTTATTTAATGAGGCAATTTTATTTTATTTTTTCATTCCAATAGATAAGGTCTACTGAAAACAGACCTTAGTTTTACAAAGCCTATCTAATATCTTCACTTAAAAAGCTTACCTGGGACCAAACCTATGTAATACCTGAAGAAAAACAGAGTAGTGAAACTTGCAGTCTATTAAATACAAATTGGCATCTGTAAGATACATTACAGGTGCTGGGGATGTGGTTCGCCTGCCATGCGCAGAGCTCTGGGTTTGATCCTCAGCACCACATAAAAATAAAATAAAGATGCTGTGTCCACCAAAAACTAAAAAATAAATATTAAAAAATTCTCTCTCCCTCCCTCTCTCTCTTAAAAAAAAAAAGATACATTACAATTTTCCTACAAGTAACAACTATTTGGCGGCGTAACACAAATAAAGGGACAACAATATCAATTTCCAGCTGGTCGCAGTGGCACATGCCTGTAATCCCAGTGGTTTAGGAGGCAGAGGCAGGAGGATAATGAGTTCAAAGCCAGCCTCAGCAATTTAGCGAGGCACTTAACAACTCAGCGAAACCCTGCCTCTAAATAAAATACAAAAAAAAAAAAAAAAAAATGGCTGAGGATGAGGCTCAATGGTTAAGCACCCCTGGGTTCAATCCTCAGTACCAAAAACAAAAAACAACCAACCAACCAATTTCCAGCACTTGATTTGGAGCATTATCACTCAACATTTACTAGGCACATTACTAGGTAATTACTAGGTAGCACTGTTTACAAGCAAGTGGCAATAAATTAGGACAAAACATCTCTAACTTCTTTCCTCCTTTTTTGAGGGGTTGGAGAAATGGGAGGAAGTGGAAGATTTGGGGATGCAGGTCATGCACCCTCCACACTGCACGCCGGCGGTTATAAGCGACAGGCGCCACTCACTCCGTCCTGAGGCAGGACACTGCCACCCACCGTCGGGAAACTTACGTGTAGGAGTCGCTCGGGGACTTTGGCCAGGTCCTCCACGTATTCTTTGCAGGTGTAACACAGGAAATGCTGAAACCCAACACACAACAGGGCGAGTCAGCCCGGCGGCGCCGCGGCCGGGAGCGCCCGTAGGAAATGCAGCGCTCGAGGGGGCAGGACGTCCGGGCTGCGCCGCCGCTGGCTGGGGATGGCCTCGCTGCCGAGCGGCGGACACCGGAAGGCCAGGCCCGGCCGGCCCGTTCGCAGGCGCCAGGACCTGCGGAGCCACCCCCTCGGGGTCGCCGCGCTCACCCGCACGAAGACCACCACGGCGCGTCGCTCCCGGAACAGTGCGCCGAAGGGCAGCCTCTTCCCCGTGGCGTCCAGCACCGGCAACTCGGCCACGGAGGGCGCCAGGGGCTGCCCGCTCTCAGGGCCGGCCAGCGCCGGGCTCGGGGACGGGGCGGCGCCGCCGCTGACCTGCTGAGTAACGGGCGCSGCCATCAGGACCTGCGTCCGAGAGCCCGGGGTCCGCTCCAGCMGGATGCGGGGCCACAGCGAACCGGGCGAGGGGGGAAAGGGACCCGGCGAGCGCCGCACTCCGGGCTGAACCCGCGGGGAAGGACGCACGGGGCGGGGCAGGGCTGAGGGGCGGGGCGGGGCGAGACACGGGGCGGAGCCTGACAGGGGCCGAGCGAGACGGAACGCGGCCCT